TGCATTATCTGACAAAAATGCAGGGGTGCCAATACTTTTGGCCATGACTAAATGTACAGCAATCTGCCAATCCCTTCTTTCTGTCATGATCTGTCTGCAGCGGTGTGAAAAGTTTAGAAAAAACTACTTGTTCAGGGACTTAATCTGGGTACCAATCTTTTTGTCCTGCATGACAATCTACTAGACCAGATTAAGAAAAAAAAACTTTTTTTTATAACTAAAACCATATTTAAATCTGGGGTGCTTTTAGGAATATCTGGGGCTTTATGGCGAAGTAAACAGTATTTTTTTTTTTTAGCATTGCGTTGTATATCTCCTCCTCCCCTCTCTGCCTATCTCCAGCACCACACCTGGGGACTAGCAGGAAGAGGATAGACCTTGCAATGTAATGAGAACTGATTAGGTGCTTCTCCGGAAAGGGGCGTGTCGGGCTGATCCTTTATCCCTTTTGCTACCAGAGCCGTTTTTGTACGCGTTTAAAAAATAATTTTAGGCTTGAAGATTACACAAAACCCCCAAACATTGTATACTTTGTGAAAGCAGAGACCCTAGAGAATAAATTAGTGGTAGTTCCAATTTTTCATGTTGTATGACATTACCGCAAAGGTCCAAAAAAGCAATAAATTGCCCTAATTTTTATAAATAAAACAAGATGAGGTTGCACCAAGTAAATATCCAACATGTTAAACCTTAAATTTGAGTGCACTCGTGAAATGGCAACAAACTTGAGTACCCTATGTTTTCTATAGGAGACCCCTTTTAAAGGTCATCCGTATAGTTTTACAGAGGAGGTCTTGTGCTACAATTATTGCTCTCATTCTGGCGTGCATGGCGATATGTAACGTGTATCGCAATCAATGTTTTCATGCGTAGACACCCCAGCGTGTGCTTTTACGTTTGTACATGCGTATATGTGGGGGCGGGAGTGTCACGATCGCAAGATCGCTGCCACCAACATGCGAAAATCCCACGATCGCAACCACCAATATGTCATGATCGCGGCGTCAGACCCCAGACCTTCTCACCAAAACTTGTGACTAGCCGATCTAAAACCGCGATGTGATGTGCATAACAATGCCACACCCAGCTGCACCCTGTACAACGATTTTCCAGCTAATGGATACAGATCGATGTACCGGCAGCCTGAGCGATCGTTACTGGGTCAGGTTAATTACGCAATCAACCCTTCACACTGCCACCACCTCCTTTTTGTACAGAGAAAGAGGAAACGTGGCATTTTCAGCTATAACACTATAGCTTTGGAGATAATCGTCTGTATAAAACGGTCCGCAGACCGGTTATATAGAGGTTTAAACAACCACAGTAGCGTCTCTTTAGAGGCAGGAATTCGTGAGTTGCAATACAGAGCTATAGAAACAGTTCAACACTTTCAGAAAGAAAGATTTATCACTAAAAGGTCAAACAGGAGCAATAAAAATATTTACAGAACAAAGATGTACTAAGAGATATATATGTATATATATATATATATATATATATATATATATATATATATATATATATACACAGTCAGGTCCATAAATATTGGGACATCGACACAAATCTAACATTTTTGGCTCTATACACCACCACAATGGATTTGAAATGAAACGAACAAGATGTGCTTTAACTGCAGACTGTCAGCTTTAATTTGAGGGTATTTACATCCAAATCAGGTGAACGGTGCAGGAATTACAACAGTTTGCATATGTGCCTCCCACTTTTTAAGGGACCAAAAGTAATGGGACAGAATAATAATCATAAATCAAACTTTCATTTTAATACTTGGTTGCAAATCCCTTGCAGTCAATTACAGCCTGAAGTCTGGAACGCATAGACATCACCAGATGCTGGGCTTCATCCCTGGTGATGCTCTGCCAGGCCTCTACTGCAACTGTCTTCAGTTCCTGCTTGTTCTTGGGGCATTTTCCCGTCAGTTTTGTCTTCAGCAAGTGAAATGCATGCTCAATCGGATTCGGGTCAGGTGATTGACTTGGCCATTGCATAACATTCCACTTCTTTCCCTTAAAAAACTCTTTGGTTGCTTTTCAGTATGCTTTGGGTTATTGTCCATCTGCACTGTGAAGCGGCGTCCAATGAGTTCTGAAGCATTTGGCTGAATATGAGCAGATAATATTGCCCGAAACACTTCAGAATTCATCCTGCTGCTTTTGTCAGCAGTCGCATCATCAATAAATACAAGAGATCCAGTTCCATTGGCAGCCATACATGCCCACGCCATGACACTACCACCACCATGCTTCACTGATGAGGTGTGGTATGCTTAGGATCATGAGCAGTTCCTTTCCTTCTCCATACTCTTCTCTTCCCATCACTCTGGTACAAGTTGATCTTGATCTCATCTGTCCATAGGATGTTGTTCCAGAACTGTGAAGGCTTTTTTAGATGTCGTTTGGCAAACTCTAATCTGGCCTTTCTGTTTTTGAGGCTCACCAATGGTTTACATTTTGTGGTGAACCCTCTGTATTCACTCTGGTGAAGTCTTCTCTTGATTGTTGACTTTGACACACATACACCTACCTCCTGGAGAGTGTTCTTGATCTGGCCAACTGTTGTGAAGGGTGTTTTCTTCACCAGGGAAAGAATTCTTCGGTCATCCACCACAGTTGTTTTCCGTGGTCTTCCGGGTCTTTTGGTGTTGCTGAGCTCACCGCTGCGTTCCTTCTTTTTAAGAATGTTCCAAACAGTTGTTTTGGACACGCCTAATGTTTTTGCTATCTCTCTGATGGGTTTGTTTTGTTTTTTCAGCCTAATGATGGCTTGCTTCACTGATAGTGACAGCTCTTTGGATCTCATCTTGAGAGTTGACAGCAACAGATTCTAAATGCAAATAGCACACTTTAAATTAAATCTGGACCTTTTACCTGCTCATTGTAATTGGGATAATGAGGGAATAACACACACCTGGCCATGGAACAGCTGAGAAGCCAATTGTCCCATTACTTTTGGCCCCTTAACAAGTGGGAGGCACATATGCAAACTGTTGTAAAACCTACACCGTTCACCTGATTTGGATGTAAATACCCTCAAATTAAAGCTGACAGTCTGCAGTTAAAGCACATCTTGTTCGTTTCATTTCAAATCCATTGTGGTGGTGTATAGAGCCAAAAATGTTAGAATTGTGTCGATGTCCCAATATTTATGGACCTGACTGTATATATACAAAGAACCATAGCACAGCAGAGAGGTGAAAGGGTTAAAGTATTTGCCAAAGTCCTGGGTTAGCAGATCCAAGTTTCCGAGCAGAATGGTGCTTTTGATCTCCCTATGTTATGATGGTTAATGGGAGAATTCTTCAACTCTCTTCTTAGGCCTGACAGCCTGTTTTAAAGTCCCCAGCAGGGGGGTGGCTCTGCAGTCAAAGGCCAATCTCCACTTAGGGCGTGGAGATAGGGGTGGATGCCTCAACTAGAGCAAAAATATCTTCCATAACTCATATTTGCCTATAACTTTCCACCTGCACAAGTGACAGTCCACCCGTGGGTAGATTATTATGCAGACAAGGCTGAGGATTGATTACATATGAATTATGAAATTATATACTGCACGGTTCATGAGCTCTATGTTTCTGCTTCCGTGTGTGACCGAGACCAGGCGAGTGACTTATCAAACTGTTCATCTCCTCCTAGCCAATCTGACGGTATGTCTGGTTTTAATGTAAGTCTCTCATATGCCAAGATATGAGACTTAGGGGAAAAATGGATTTTGAGGAGTGTTATCTGATTCGGTCACCTGTGCTGAGTTAGGCTCATTAGGTCAAAATCCCTTTCAACTCCTAAGAGAGCCTGTCTTATCTCTTCAGAGGTGTGAAATGGCATAGGTTCTCCCAGACAGCCAAGCACCTAGCTCAGAGATGCCTTGGCCTGCCAGTGACACACACACACACACACCCCCACACACACACACACACACACACACTCACACACCACACACACACACACTCACACACACTCACACACTCACACACTCAGAGACAGGAGGGGGAGGGAAGAATGAGGGAATAACATGGCTACTCTTAACAAAATGGCAGACTGCATCAGTCTCTGGTGCGCATGTTTGTGACAGGGAGCCTCAAATTTTTATTTTTATTTTTTTTGGTTTGAGGGAATGTTATGTGCTTGGGTGTAACTCAAATTTTTTCCAATTTAAAACCATTTTTTTTTTTAATTACAAGGGACAAAAAGTCCCCTATGTGATGATTTTTGGTGACAGGTTCTCTTTATTGAGACATCCAGGGTGTAAAAGACCCTGCATGTCTCTCCTGAATGTAATCGGTGGCGGTGTACATCACACTGAATTACATTCTTTCCCGGCCTCAATGGTCAGGAAATCTGTGCCTGGGGACCAGGAAGTGATGTTATAACTTCACTTGCGGGTCAGGACAAGAAGGGGAATGGACATGTCCGCTCTCCTCCCTCCCCTCTAGCCCCCGGGGCAAGCTGAACCAGTCCTATGCCTGCAGATGGGCAAGCGGAGCCTGGGAGACATAGTGGGGGAGGTTTGCACAGGAGGGGCAGAGGCTGGCACTGTAGTGGGCTGTGTGACCGCAATTGGGTGGCAGCGCAGCTGCTCGAATGCTTTCACCTGACAGGTGAGCCCTGCTGCTTGCCCTCAGCAGGGCTAATGGTTGAAAAATAAAAACTACTTGCCTGTTCGATCGGAACTACATGTCCTGGGCGTCGGGCAATACAAATTCAACATCCCTGGTCAGCATCGCACAAATGAGCACAAACACCCAGTGATGATATCACTCGGTCCTAAATAAGGTATTTAATAAAAATTGGCTTCATTTGAAAATTTCATGTGTCAATGAGGAGGGAGGAACAAGGGAAGGCAAAATATAGGCAGATTAAACTTCAGCATTAATATCTAAGATATATACCCAAGCAGTGAAAAGAATATCACTTGCCTAGTTGAAGAGCTGTGTTTTGTGTGCATGCTGAGATTTTAAAACCGCTCTTCTCTATCCTGCTTTTTTCTCATCAGCTGATACAGAGGATGTCTGCATTGTGGAACGACTGTTTTCCAGCAGTCTTGTCGCTATCGTCAGTCTTAAAGCGCCACGAAAACTTAAAGTTTGCCATTTTAAAAAAGGAACAGAAATCTGTAACTACAGTTACTCTAACACAATTTTGGCTGTGAAGCTAAATCGGCAGGTGAGTAGTTGTAACTGTTGTATTCAAATAGTCACACTGAACTTCTCCGTAACATTCATCTAATACACCAGGACTGGATAAGGATGAAAAAAAAAACCATATATACTCTGGCAATAGCAAATAGACTTTTATCCTGTTTACCTAAATCTTTCTCCTCAATCATAAGATGTACTTTTTTATGTCTATACATTCATCCTGTTGGTGTAGGGACATGGTACTACACTGTCTGTGTGCAAATGGCATCAAAGAAAATTTAAATTTTCATTCTTTTTTTTTTTTTTTTTTTTCTGTTTTGTTTTTTGTTTTATTTGTTATACACAAGCTTATGCGGTTGTACACATGAAAACTATGGGGCATATTTATAAAACTTTCATTGGCTTTTATTTTTTGGAAACCACATATTTGGTGAGCATTCTATCACGCTCACCCTATTTATAGTGGGACAACCGTCTTATTTTCAAATGTGACACCCAGTACATGGATGCTTGCACGTGAACAGTGTACTATAACCCTGCTGGCAATTTTGGTAATCGATGCTGTCCATTCTGCTGAAACTGTTAAATTGGTTGGGTCTCTGTGGTTTACATTTTACATCGCTCTTAGGTGATCTACTATCTAGTACTATGTTACTTATCGTCATTGGCTTGTTTGCTACTATGACGGAATGCCTGTCACTCCAATTGGGCGATTCTGTCAGAGAACTGCTTCCTCGCCCCTGGAACATCGGAGCAAGGTATTATAGCTGAGCATCGCACCCAAGAACTAGCTGGTACTAGCTGAGGTGCAACTGGAACTACTTTATTGAACAAGAACATGGGTTTTCCTATACTTTAGAAATGGGGGCAGTCCCCACATGAACAATAAAACCAAATATCACATATTTACATAAACACATAAACATCCCACAGTGGTTTGGTAACAAGGTAAAGTGGACACAAAACTAATCACATCTCCAAGAGGATTAGCAGACTGAAACAATAGGTGGCTCTGTTCAACTTAATTAATGGGAATGCACACCTTGGAGGCACACAATGAGAGGACAGTAAACACATCACACCTTAATAAACAGACTACACATAAGAAGCAAGAGACCCCAGTGTGAGGTTGTTTTGAGCTGATTATATTAACATCTGCTCTGAGTCTAGAAAGAGGGGGTTGAAGCAGTCAATGCTGGTTTGGGCACAGAGACTGCAACTCTGTATCCTGGTCCTCCAGTTCTCGGAGTCAGTATGTTTCGGGGCACATGGGCTTGAATCCAAAGTAAAAGGTCTCCCCAGGCACACACCTTCCAAAAAATACAGCCTCTTCAGATGCCAGGACCCATGGTCAGTAGGCAAGAGGATAGCCTGCAATTCCCATCCAAAAGCCCCTGTCCTGGTTGGGTTTGTCACTGTTACCTTCATTACCAGTGTAAAATTTGCAAGATAACAGGAAAGTGCTAAATCACGCTTGAAACATTTGTGTGTCACCTGTTCCTTTTTGTAATCGCTCTACAATACATAGAGGGGAATTCTAGGAGGAGGATAGTTCCCAGAGGGAATAACTGTGTGCTACAGAAGATTTCGCCAGCAGTTGGTGGCACAGATAATATCTGTAAGTGCCAAATTCTGTCCTGTGAAAATTGGCAACCTGCAGGAATGAGACCTATAACAAATTACAGGTTCCAGTTTCCTGAGAATTTCACCTAAATATCCAGTTAGGGATTAAATTCTCATCTCGCCAAACAAAAGAAAAACCTCTATTTTGAACAATTATTTGTTCAAAATGTTTGATGTGTGAGATATGTGATTGTAGATATATATATATATATATATATATATATATATATATAGTTAAAAAATGAATTCCAATTGACTCTAGGATACTGTAAAAACGTAAATCTTTAAAGCCCAACTCAGGAAAAATTAAAAATCAACCTGTGCATTGGCAGTTCTTTCAGCAAAAATATATTCCTGAATGTTTATATAGTTCTTAATATTTGCCAGCTGATTATCTAGACAAGGACCAGTCCGCTCACTATCACCAGCCACCATGACCGCCCCCGCCTCATAGTTCTGATAGCTTCTATGCAGTTGTGCACAAAAGTTTGCGTACCCTGGCAAAAATCAAGAAATTTTGCCATAGATATTGAAAATATGGCTGATCATGCCAAAAATAACTGTCTTTTATTTAAGGATGGTTACCATATGTAGCCATTTATTATCATATAGTTGTTTGGCTCCTTTTTAAATCATAATACTAGAAGTTGCCTAAATGGCCCTGATCAAAGGTTTACATAACCCTGGAATGTTTGGCCTTAGTACAGACACACAAAAGTTAAAATGGAAATCAAAGGTTATGTTTCCACATCTGTGGCTTTTGAAATTGGAATTAGTGTCTGCGTATAAATAGTCTGTTAGCTCTCACATGGATGCACTGAGCAGGCTTGATACTAAGCTATGGGGAGCAGAAAAGATCTGTCAAAAGACCTGCGTAATAAGATAATGGAAGATTATAAAGATGGAAAAGGATATAAAAAGATATCCAGTGCCTTGAATATGACATTGAATCACTTATTAAAAAGTGAAAAATTTGGGGATCTCTTGCTACCAAGCCAAGGTAGACCAAGAAAGATTGCCCATCTGAGTGCAGGATGGTGAGTCAGTCCGTTTCTTCACTTCACACGTGGAGGCCTCAGAGTGGTTGGAAACCCTGCCTACCGTGTGACTGCTTCTTCACCCTGTAGTTTCTGTGCGGTGCCATGATTGCCTTATTTGCCTACATGTGGGAGTCTTCTCTCACTCCTCTTGAATCCTGAGGTGAACATTGTCTTCCCCCGATGCATACTTGTCTGCTATGCGGGCAAGCGGGGATTTGATCTCGCCTCACACTTTTGCCTTGTCATGGGATACCCTATTCAGAGGATGGGCATTGCTCCATCTGTTCTAGCTGCACAGTCCTATGGTTGAGGCCTAAGATCTGCGTTATTGCCCGTCTCTGGATACTCTGCTTTCTACGCCTGCTTAGGAGATGGGGCATTGATGCATGGGAAACGACAATCATCTATGGGCACTCTGACCTTTTGAAGTGGCGAGAGAGACATTTGCTGCTGTTGGTTTTACTGTTTACAACTATGTTCCAAGTTATGTGACCCCAGAATCTTCTGTGTCGTGTTAGTTTTGCTGGGACCATTAATCCTCTAAGTTTTGTCTTAGGCGGACTCTCCTTGTCCAGACCTTCCTACGATTTCCCAATGGAGATCCATGGTGGACTCTGCCCTGCCCCTCCAGAAGCTTACTTATGAGTTGTAAGAGTCCCAAAAAATGTGATAAGATCGGTGCTGCTTGGGTGGAGGTTAGATCCCTATGAGGTGGAGACCCTGTGGAACAGTGACCTGGGTATGACCATCTGGAAGTGTTCCTATACTGTGCTGGTAATGTTATGGCACTGAGTATCTTTCATGTCCACCCCCCCCATCTTTCCCCCTGGGATAGGAAAAAAACATAGCCCTGTTTGTATATTTTTGATATCTCTATTGCAATCCAATGTTGCATGCTGAGTTTTCATTGTTTTACCAGAAATGTAGTACTGTGCAGTGTGATGACAATATTCTTCACTTACAATGTTCAGTCGGTGCCTTAGGATGATTTACTCTGTGCCTTAATACTTAATGTAACCTTGTTGTACATGTGTGGGTTTTTTTTTTTTTTTTTTTTTTTAAATAAAACCGTTTGTTCTAAAGAAAACAAGAAAAAAAAAAACATCTCCACTGTGAAGAATTGTGGTGGCTCACTAATGTTTTGGGTGTTGGAGCTCTAAAGACACAGAGAGTCTTATGAAAATTGATAGCAAGATGTTTGCAGCATGTTATTAGAATATACTGACAGACAATTTGCATTATTCTACATGAAAGCTTCGCATGGGACAGTCTTGGACTCTCCAGCTTGACAATAACCTTAAGCGCAAGGCCAAGTTGACTATTCAGTGGTTACAGCACAAAAAAGTGAATGTTCTGTAGTGGCAATCGGTCTCCTGTCCTTAATATCATCAAGCCACTCTGGGGAGATCTCAAAACGTGGGGTTCATACAAGACCACCAAAGACTTTGCACGACCTGGAGTCATTTTCCCAAGATAAATGGGCATCTATACCACCTGCAAGAATTGGGGGCCTCATAGACCACTATTACAAAAGACTGCACACTGTCTTTGATGATAAAGGGGGCAATACACAGTATTAAGAACTGAGGGTATGCAGACTTTTGAACAGGGGTCATTTCATTTGTTAGATTTTGTTTTATGGTTGTGTCATTCTGTTATGACCTACAGTTGAATATGAATCCCATAAGAGTGAAAATAATTTTTATCTGCTCACTCATGTTTTCTTTAAAAATGGTGCATACTGTACCAATTCTCCCAGGGTATGCAAACGTTTGAGCACAACTGTAAACACGTTAGTGTATTGTGCCCAGGATTATTATAGTACTGATTTGTGCAGCCTGCCTGCGCTGTTCCCACTTTGCCTCCTGAATTTCTCTTTTCTGTAGTTAAATGTAGGAAATATACTGTAGTATGTAACAGAGCAATGAGAGATTGATATGACTAAAAGATAAGAATTGTAAAACAATCCGTTTACATGGACCGCAAACGAGTTCTCAAGGCTGATACAGTTGACCATGGCAGAAAGGAACAGTCGGAGCTAAAATAAAGTGTCCAGAGCAGAGCAAACTGTATGAAGCCAGCATCAGAATGTATTATTATGATTATACAGGATTTATATAGCGCCAACAGTTTGCTCAGTACTTTAGATGAACATAGAGTGCCTGATACATGAAAAACAATCTTTCTAAGCATCGAAAAAATTATCTGTTGGTATGATTGCTTCTGCCTTGTAGTGAGTGATCCAGCTGGGAAACAGAGCAAGATCCACAGGTTATTTTGCATGCAATATGACATCACAGGTAGTAAAGTATGCATTTTCCCTTCTATGGAGATGGTTAATACAAATTTTTATAATGTTACTTGTTTAGGTACTATATAAAATATGTTCGTAATCCTGGAGTTGGCCTTTTATTATCCAAGAATCATTGTTTATATCTGTACAAAATTTAAATTTATTCTCTCTCCCTAGAGGCTGATTGTATGCCTTGAGGAGTCTCTCTACATACACAACATAAGAGACATGAAAGTCCTGCACACTATTCGAGAAACGCCTCCTAACCCTGCAGGTATGTTTCCCTTTTTGTTTCCTCAAAAAAATAAATGTCTAAATATCTTTACCGGTGTATGGCAATGTAGTATAATAACTAAATGTGTGTTGTAATATTTATTTTGTTTAACTCCTTCAAGGCTAAATTTACATCCCCTTTTTATTTCAGAAACCATTTTTAATGTACAGGTGAGCATGCTGAGAGGAATTTACAAAAACTGGAGCAGCCAGAATCTATTCATAACAGATTCAGCACTTGTTAATAACAACCAATCAGCTTTTAGCTTTCATTTTTAAAGATTAACTGAAAAATATGAAGCTAGAGGCTGATTGGTTACTATGCACAACTGCTACAGTTTTAGTAAATTCCCCCCCACCCACTCTGTCTGGTTGTATGGTATTGTACCGCATGTTGCATTTTTTGACTGGATATATTTTAGTTTGTATGAAGGATTGTCTCAAAGTCATGATTTTATTTATTTATTTTAAGGTCTATGTGCACTGTCAATTAATGGAGACAACTGCTATTTAGCATATCCTGGTAGTGCATCTATTGGAGAGGTCCAGGTCTTTGACACTGTTAATCTGGTGAGTGTTGGTTGTATACATTCTGCAAAATTAAAGGCTAACTCCCACTCTTTGTTCATGTTTCATGTTGCACTCCTATTTAGGGTGTAACATTAACCACTAGGGGACCACCCGCAGTAGATATACTGCTACAAGGTGGCCCCTGTGTGCAGGATCACATATATAAACGTGATCCTGCATTTTGGGGTAGGGGGCGTGCGCCCGCCCTACCCGCAGCACTGACCACGTCCGTGGGTGTCAATCACCGGGTCCTGGCCGGTGATTACATGCCGGAGCCCGGTGATTGCCGGCAAACACTGACTGGGAGGAAGGCTGCATTGTTTTCAATGGCGGTCTCCTCCCTGTCAGTTTGAGCACACTGTTCCGGATGAATGAGCTCAACCTTCCAGATCAGTGTTTTACAGTGAAGCACACACCCCCCCGCCCCCTATTGAAACACTCCCCTCACACAGTTAACCCTTTGATTGCCTTCATATATTAACCCATTACTCCCCAGTGCCATTAGTACAGTGTCAGTGCATTTTTTTTTTTTTTTTTTTTTGCACTGATCACTGCATTGGTGTCACTGGGGATGTCAGTGACCCCAAGTCAGTTCCCTCCCAGTGTCAGAATGTCCGCCGCAGTCCCGCCATAAGTTGCTGATGGCCGCCATAACTCACTGATTGCCGCTATTATAAAGAGAAAAAAAAATCCAGCATCTATATTGCCATTTGTAATCACTATAACTTTCACGTAAACCAATTCATTTACATGTATTTTGATTTTTAAATTTTTTTACTAGCGCAAAAAAAAAGCACAGGCAATCAATTACTACCAAACGAAAGCTCAATTCATGGGCAAAAAAGGACGTAAATTTGATTTTGGTGCAGCGTTGCATGACCGCGCAATTGTCAGTTAAAGTAACGCAGCGCCATAACACAAACTGCTTATGTAACAGCTTCCTGACCGCCTTATAGCAGAAATACTGCTAAAGGGCGGCACGGGTGTGCAAAATTACTTGTATATACGTGATTTGCTCTCCCATGGTTTTCACTCCCCTCCCAGATAGTGTCAGATTGCCCGTCCGTACACCAGTACTCACAATTAACCCCTTGATTGCCAGGAACACACTTAAACACAGCACCCACCAATCTATTGAATTTTTTCTTCTTTGACACTGCTTGTGACTGCCTTGAGTTCTATAGCAGAGAAGGGGGTTTTATGCCCAGAGAGTACTGCCTATAGGAGGTGCCGAAGTTAGTTATTTTCTGCCTAGTGTCCTACTCCTGTAGATGTGGCTATAAAACCTTGCTTGGTCATGGATAATGTAGAAGACTCTGTGTCCGTCCATTAACTTGGAGAAAGGGATTTTACAGTGTGCAACAAAAAAAATCCAGTTTTTTTTTTTGTTTTTTTTTTTCTTCATTGAATGTTATTGCTTAAGTTTGTGTATTCACAGATATTTTTATTAAAAGATAATCTACCAAGCAGTTACACTAAGAAACAGCCGACTGCACATTTTTTCTCCTAATTTACAATAAAATATTCGAATGACAAACTATATGTAATTTAAATAGTTTGTGGAGGTGATGTGCTTTAGGGATGGTTGGAGGAAATTGCCAAATGTTGTAGTAAAACATATGTTTAATACTATTTAATGGTTTACAGAGAGCTGCTAATATGATCCCTGCTCACGACAGCCCTTTGGCAGCCTTAGCATTTGATGCAAGTGGCACAAAACTAGCAACAGCATCAGAAAAGGTATGTGAAGGTTTTTTTTTTTTTTTTTTTTTTTTTTTACCTCTCAAAGGCATTGTACACTTTTAAAAGTTTGTTGTTTTTTTACTAGGTATTAGTGCAGTTTTAGTATACTCCCTGTGCTGTTTGCCTTACCTTGTAATAATGGGCTCACATGTTATGGCTGCAGTTTGTAGTGTCCTGGCCGATTTGATTCCCTTATGTCCTTGGTTTGCTACAGTTAGCCTTTTCCTTAATTGTCAAAGGGAGGAGACCACTTACTGTTCCAGGTCAGTGTCCATAGCATGCTTTACCTTCGGTTTTGTGACGCATCACAAATGTGGGAATGCTAATGTAGTGGAAAAAAAAAAATCTTCCTGTTACATGGTAAGCGCTTCGTGGGTCTGAATTCAAATCACAGTCCGATCTAATTACTGTACCTGCACCAGCACTAGACCGAGAGACCCAGGGATTGTGGTATATGTAGTTTATTCACAGGAAGATGCAGTTCTCATATTAGACACAGGTCACGTATTAACCCGTGCAGTGCCACTGGCATGCCTCCGGTTTCTACGCAAACACAAAATTCTGACACAGGATTTTGAAGATTTACTCTACTACAGAGCAATGCATGACCTGTAAGTATAGGGTATACTAGCTAAAGGACAATTTTTCTCCCATAACTGGCATGGACATTTTTGGATTATAGGGCACATTAGATGCAGGGGTTAACAGTTGCAGATCTACACTGTTTTCTAGAATCACTACCATTTGAGCATTTATGAATCCTAAAGAATGTAATCTCCTGAAGGATGTTTTGCAGTTTAAAGGTAAAATATGGTGGAGAGTTTTTAAATGTTTGTTGTCTTTTAATGGTACATTGAGGAACTGCATATTCAGTTGTTTGGTGAACGTCCAAAGGTGGCACATTTAAGGCAAATTACATATAAAAATTGTTTATTCATTATATAGTGGGGGTGCCGTGCTGTGGAAAGCAGAACGCTTGTTGTGATTTTGTACAGCAATTTCATCATTGATGTGTCTGAGAATTGCAAAATGATAGCTAAAAATTATAGTGGTTGTCTTGCTGTCAAAATATACATATTCTCTTTTTATTTAGGGCACAGTGATTCGCGTCTTTTCCATTCCAGAAGGTCAAAAACTGTTTGAATTCCGGAGAGGAGTGAAAAGGTCATTTAGAAATATTTTACATTGTTTTATGAAATACTGGTTTAATAAAAAGATTGTGTTGGTTTTTGTTTCCTGTACTATGCTCTTTATTAGACCATTCAGAAGCTGCTTAATAGGCATTTTGACACCTGTAAGCAGCTATGCTTGTTAACCTTCCTCCAGAATCATACATAAAATACACTCACCTGCCACTTTATTATGTACACCTTTCTAGTACCAGTTTGGACCCCCTTTTGCCTTCAGAACTGCCTTAATTCTTTTTGGCATAGATTCAACAAGGTGTTGGAAACATTCCCCAGAGATTTTGGTCCATATTGACATGATAGCATCACACAGTTGCTGCAGATTTGTTGGCTGCACATCCATTATGCAAATCTTCTGTTCCATCACATCCCAAAGGTGCTCTATTGGATTGAGATCTGGTGACTGAGGAGGCCATTGGAGTACAGTGTACTCACTTTCACGTTCAAGAAACCAGTTTGAGATGATCTGAGAGTTGTGTCATAGTGCATTATCCTCCTAGAAGGAGCCATAAGAAGATGGGTACACTGTAGTCCTAAAGGGATGGACATGGTCAGCAACAATACTCTGGTAGGCTGTGGCATTTAAACGTTTCTCAATTGGTACTGAGGGGCCCAAAGTGTGCCAAGAAAATATCCCCAGCACCATTACACCATCACCACCAGCCTGAATTATTGATACAAGGCAGGATGGAGCTATGCTTTCATGTTGTTTACAACAAATTCTAACCCTACCATCTGAATGTCGCTGCAGAAATTGAGACTTCTTATACCAGGAAATGTTTTTCCAATCTTCTGTAGTCCAATTTTGGCGAGCCTGTGCGAACTGTAGCCTCCCATTTCCTGTTCGCTGACAGGAGTGGCACCCATTGTGGTCTTCTGCTGCTGAGGTTTCCAGGAGTGTCTACAGCCTTCAAAACCTGCAGAACATTGTGTGCAGTCTCCAAGTCAAAGCATTATGGTGCAAAGCAATTTACTGCAGTAGTACAGGATAACTGTACTGTCATATGAGGTTGAAAATGCGATGATGAGAGCAGGAGCGGTGAAGGGGAAGAAGGGACTTGGGATCCACGCTATTGGGTGTTAAGTTGGGGTTGCACCTCCAGCAGACATATAGGTTAACAGTGGTTGGGGGAGGGTGATATGGAGTGAGAGTTGGGGAAATGCATGCACATCCTTTGTGAGAGAGAAGGTACAAGTGCAGTGGTGAAGGGGGGATTCACAGCTGTGGTAGTTAGAAGGGGAAGGCATGTGTTGGGGGGTACACATTTATGTAGGCATGAGACAAAGGGGCTGCAGCTACAGTCCATGCTGAGGGAACGGGGACTGCAGGTGTGGTAGGAACTGAGAGAAAGGGTTGTATAGGAAAGGTAAGAGAAATGGGGACTGCAGGTGTGGTGGATGTTGAGACTTCTATGGACAATAAAATATTTACATATTTTGGCTGTTAATGTGAAGTTATTTCTTCTTAAAAAGAGTCTAGAATAAGGTTTCAGTCAGATTCTATGTCCTCCCTAACAATGGCAGAGAGTGTAGTGACACCCACTTCTGTTGTTTACCTTACAGCGGAATGAGGCAATTCAGACTAGCATGCTAGGTGTATTCAGCGTGTCATGAACGGCAGGCCTTATGCATGCCAATTGCACCCAAACATGGCTATGGTGGTAGTGGCACAGTATTTTTGTGCAAAATCCCCCTTGTGGACAAAAACAGGCAGACCAGGAGGCAACATTGTTGCCTACTGACTTCTGTAAACTGACTCTAAAACATTCTTTAACCACTTGCTGTCCGGCTGCTGTATATAAATGGCTGAATGGTGGCAGTCCAGGGGTGGATTGCCATTCATACATGGCTCCCGCCTTTTTGGACTGTGCACGCTTCCTGGGCGCACGCAGCACTGCGATCCGGTGCCCACTTTGTCCGGATTGTCGTAGGGTGATTCGCGTCTTCTGTGCGAGGTCCCGATCATGTGATCACGGATTGGCCAATCCGTGATCACATGCAGAGTAGTAAGCAAGATGTCACTTCTGACATCATTGCTTGCTACGTGTGAAATGTGTGAATGATCACAGAGGTCACATGGTAAAAGGCTATTCACAAGAGCCTTGTACCATGTGACAAGCTGTGACCAATCACAGCTCGCACAGTATTTCTCAATGGCTGCAAGAACAGCCAGAGAGGAGAAATGATTGCTTTTACAGCCTTTATGGGTATAAAAGCAATCGATGTAAAAAAAAAAAAAAAAAAAAAAAAAAATATTCATCACCCCCACAAGTAGTACAGTGTCACCATGGTCACACTGTACTGCTAGGGTGACAGTATGTAAAAAAAATAAATAAAAAAATATAAAAATGTTAAATAAAAAATTTTTTAAATTATAATTTTTGGTTATAAACTAATTTTTTTTTTCTTTTTTTTTTTAAACTAAAAAGCTAACTGAATAAATTTTGGCCAAGATGTATGATGAAATATTATTTATTTGCAAAATTTTATAAGAAAACCACTTTTTAAAAATTTTTTGGGACTTTTTATATATAGCAAAAAAAATAAAAATCCTAGTGGTGAATAAATGTCATCAAAATAAAGCTTTATCTGTCTCAAAAAAATGCTAAAAAATTCATATGGGTACAGTGTTGCATGACCGCGCAATTGTCATTCCAAGTGTGATAGCGCTGAAAGCTGAAAATTGGCCTGGACAGGAAGGGGGTAAAAGTGTCCGGACATGAAGTGGTTAAAAAGTGATCCACAGCAGATTGCTTTTCAGAGCCTATTGCTTTTGTGAAAGTTGACAAACGGCTTAGAAACACCTGCTGGTTGTTTACATTAGGGAGCTGGCAGCCCACAAAGATTCTGTTACATTAAAAAACACAGCATAGGTGTTGTACACTTTGAAAATGAACTGCTTCACAATGCTTATAGATACATAGATGAATGAGATTTCTTTTTAAAGTGCTTTTACTGCTTGGTCAGAATATGTAAATGTTAGCCTCTCTTTTGACACTTTTTTTTTTTTTTTTTTTTTTTTTTTTTTTTTTTTTTTTTTAGGTGTGTGACAATATTTTCCCTAGCTTTCAGCATGGATGGCATCTTTCTTTCAGCCTCAAGTAACACAGAAACTGTGCATATTTTCAAGTTGGAGACCGTGAAAGAAAAGTATGTGTTCATTTTATTTGTTCAGTTGCTTTCAGCTTTTCTTTATTTAAATGCTGAGCTTGACTTTGGAATTTTGCCTAACAAAAATTTGTAATTTTTGTAATGGTGATATTGGTGTGCATTAGTTTAATAAGCACTTTGTATTTTTAATCATACAGTTGTCAGTGTTGCTTAAATTGTAGTATATTTTGTGTCTTTTTGTTTGAGGTTAAAAAAAAAAAAAAGACTGAAAAAAAAACAAACTCCCAAACTGCGTCTGTTACTTGTAGAAAACTGGTCATGTACTTTGTGCAGAACATAGTCTGCAATGAAGCAGAGATCTTGTCCTTGCTTGTTCAGACCTATCTATTATAACAAGTTTTATGAGCTGTTCTTCTGAACATGCCACTTATTTGGTTTTAATCCCTCTTAAGGACATACATGTTTGGGTCAGTAATTCTAAAAGCACTAAAGTCAGAGATAGTAGGCAAGCAAAATTTTAGAAGGAAGTGTTTAATTACATCCATAAAGTGTGTGGGATATCATTAAACAAACCTTCAGAAATGTTCTGAATTTTAAAAGTTTGTGTAACGTCATTGCTATATTACTATTAAATAATCCTAGAAACGTACCCACAAAGTCATTCATAGAAAAGTGTGATCGCTAATATTTAGTGGCTAGTTGTTCAGTTCATTCACATTAAAGTAGTAATAAACCCACAGTGCCAGCTCACACCAGAACACAGTGCTGGAAACCCACATTGTGTGCGTGTTTTGCGCCTCACGTTGCAAGTGCACTGGCTGCATATGTCAATGGAATCCTAATGACACCCCAAATTCAGATCTCAAATGTAGTGTGTTTGCCTGCATTGGATCGTATGGTACCACAATACCATGCAATCCAGTTGCAGTGTGTTTTTAAAAGTAGTGCATGAACTACTTTTTGGTGCGATTTCAACCCAGTCAAAGGAATGGGCTGAAAAACCGTATCACGCTGAATCAAGTAAATACTACAGATATATGTACTTTGTTCAGATTTCATGACTGAAGTTTACAACCACTTTAGAATATGTGAACCCAGCATTTCATATTCCTGATATGCGCCTGCTGTACCATGTACTTGTATGAAAAAGTAACCTGTTCTTTTTGTATTGCTTCCTTTGTTTGGTGTTCCTGCCAGTCCCTCTGCTTTCCTATTAAAAACTGACCACAGTAAGCAGGAGAGCACACCATGGTTGGTTCTCTAGCTATGCTGGGAAGTCAGCCTGCTCTCCTCCAATGATCCTACTTGTCCTGACACCCCCCTGCCTCTCACAAACTTTCACTGGAAAGATCAGTGTGCTGCCATTTCTCCTCCCTAGTCTGTGGGAGAACAGAGCTGAGAACAGAGGGAATGTGATCACTTTTCCAAAAGGGAAAATTTATTTTATATATATATATTTTTTTTTTTTAATACACAAATGTTTGCCTTTTATTTCTATTGTAAACTGAATGGCTTGTTTTACAATCACTTTAACACATTGAGTGCAATAAATTACACATTCCCAGTAAACTATTTGTTACAATTTTTACCCAAGCACTTGTGGTTTACAAATGTCAGTGCTGCTTTTCTGAGCTCCCAGTTTATACAGGAAAGCGTCAAGAGTGGAGAGCAGTGGTAGCAGTCTTGAGCCAGTCTGTTAGTTTGGCGAAGGCGGGGAGGACAGAGTGCCTTTGCATTCTAATCTATGGGGCTGTGTTTCTATTGATGTACACAGTGTAGTGAGACACAACTCTAATCCTTGCTTTGCTAGTACAACTATTCGTTCCCCCAGTGACTGCAAACCCTGCAGGCCTTGATAATGTAAAGCTGTGCCACCCCATTGGGATGAGGTTTTTTAGTAAGCAGATCTTGCATATATTTACCAAAAAATAAACGGTTTCATTTAGCCTAAAATATTTGTTTCAATAGTGTAAAAAATGTAGGTGGTTTTAGGCAAACTTCTCATGCGCAGCATATTTTGGAGAGCAGTTGTTTCCTCTTTGGCAGCTTCACATGAACACCACACCACACCAATGGTTATGAATGAGGGAGTACACTTTCACATGCAACTTATGCAACTGACAAAGGGAGCACAGACACACTTTCAGCATAAATAACTCCCATCATCGATCTCAGGGATGCAGACAACACGATAGTATAGATAGATAGAGATATATATATATATATATATATATATATATATATATATATATTTTATTACAGTAACAGTTTAAGTAAAGCATACAGCGGGTAAAATAAGTATTGAACACGTCACCATTTTTCTTGGTAAATATATTTCTAAAGGTGCTATTGACATGAAATTTTCACCACATGTACGCAACAAACAATGAAATCCATACATACAAAGAAACCAAAACAAATAAGTTCAGAGACTAAACATCCGCCCTACATCAGTTTTACTGCTACAGGGCAGCATTTTGCACTTCCGCCACACGGGAGCGCGTGCGTGCCGCCAGAGGATAGCTTTTGCTGTAAAATATCACAGCACAAACTGATCTACAAGCCCCTGCGAGCAACTGCAGATCGTTGGTCAGGGAGAAAGAACAGAGGTGTTATCTATGTTTACATAGATACAGCTCTGTGTGTGTGTGTGTGTGTGTGTGTGTGTGTGTGTGTGGGGGGGGGGGGGGTTAGGAGTGATGAATCGTGTATCTTTTCAGAGATGAGAACACAATCCATAAATTCCCATAGTAAAAGCACCACCTTGTGTATTCCAAGCACATAGCTAGGCACACACTCTTAACCTTCTGATCACCCTAGATGTTAACCACTTTCCAACCAGTGGCATTAGTACAGTGATTAGTGTACATTTTTAGCACTGATCACTGTATTAGTGTCAATGATTCCCACAAAGTGTCAGTGTAAAAATGTCTGCCGCAATATCGTAGTCCTGCTATAAGTCGCTGATCGCCGCCATTACTAGTATAAAAAAATAAACATTCCAGTATAGTTTGTAGATACTATAACTATTGCGCAAACTAATCAATATACAATTATTGGGATTTTTTTTTTTACCAAAAATTATGTAGCACAATATATTTTGACCTAACTTTATGAAGAAATTTGATTTTTAAAATGTTTTTATTAAGTGTTCTTGCATGGCAAGACCACTTACTGTTATCTCACATATATATTCTTATTATTATAGCCAAATTTACCACCCTAACTCCTCCCACAGTTTTTACACTACATAGACAGTAATATACTGAAACGTGCGGATTGTTCCCGATTGGTGTGCTATTACTTTGTGGATAGAGAGAAAACAGGTGGTGCACACACCTAGTGCATTATCCAAGGTTTATTGTAGGAGTGAAAGAATAATAAAAACATACTCACAGACGAAGCATGTATCTAAAAAGCATAGAAAAATGACAATGGCCACAACGGCAGGCAAGGTGTTCTCACTGTCAGTGCGATCAAATGGCTGATGCGTTTCGGGGACGAATCCCTTTCCTCAGAGCTGATGACCAACCTCTGATGTATGATGAATGGAAAGTAGGAGCCTTGCTGTTGATGTAGGCACTCCTACAATAAACCTTGGATAATGCACTAGGGGTGCACTAGGTGTGCGCGCCACCTATTTTCTCTCTATCCAGTGGCTGATTTCCCCGTCTAAGGAGGGCTGCACCCCTGAAGCATTTCCTTTGGTTGTCGCTGTCCTGGTACCCTTGGCTTCCCTTTTGGCTGTGCATATCCTGAGGCGCTGGAGAGTGCATACGATGTTCAGTTGCTATTACTTTGTGGAACGTTTCGCCGAATGGTTCACGAAATATTGGCGTTTTTGTGGTGAAATTGGTCCCATAGGAATGAATGGCGGAATGTTCAAAACTAGAGTGGGAGCTGACAAAAGCTAGAGTGTGAGCTGAAAAATCAGGACATGGTTTCTAAACTGCCATCACTCCCTCATTTTCAAGCCCACCTACACAAATCCTATATCACAATGTTCAGCTATCCCTGCTGCCACTAAAAATGTCCACGGCTAAGCCATAGTCCTGATAGTTTTCACAATATGACCATTTGTTTGCAACTCACGCCGCCCATTGACATTCATTGAAACTCCACTCTAGCCACGTCAGATTTGAAGGGCAATTTCTCAACTGCAACTGTGCCTTCATTTTTAATATTTCAGATTCATACTATGCATCAATGTACAATGTAGGTCTGGGTCTTGTGATTCTCACAGTATAAAGCGCTTTGATGTAGGATTTATAATTTTTAAACTACAACCGTTTGAAGATGGCAACCACCAGTGAAGTGAGCAAGTTGGAGCAGTTTGTTTTTTAACTGCTCTTCTCTGCCCTTGCTGTAGAGTGAGTTGCCATATGAACCCAGGTGTGTGAGCAGGCAGCAGAGTGACAAGCCACTCCACCCAGTTACTCCGCCCACTCCAGTTGTAGACTACTGGTGGAGGCAAGAACACTTCACACAATTTCCACAGAAATACCACCAAAAGAAAGCTCTATTTGTGGGGGAAAAAAAGAACATACATTTAATTTGGGTACAGCATTGCATGACTGTGCAATTGTCAGTTAAAACAGCGCAGCACCGTATCGCAAAAAAATGGCCTGTCAGGAAGGGGGGTAAATGTTCTGGAGAGCAAGTGGTTAAGTTATGTGTAATAAAATTGAATGACACAGGGAAAAACTATTGAACACTTGAAGAAAGGGAGGTGCAAAAAAGGCATGGAAAACCAAAACACCAGCTGAAATCTGTCAGCAATTGGAATCAATCCTGCTCCTTGTAAGTGCAAATTGTATCAGCTGGTTCAGTCTCAACTGATGGCCTAAAAAAGGTGTCTGATTACCAAGGTGTTACACACAAAACATCTCATGATGGGTAAAAACTCGCTCAAGACCTTAGCAAACTTATAGTTGCAAAACATACTGATGGCATTGGTTACAGAAGGATTTCTAAGCTTCTGAATGGTTCAAGGAGCGCTGTTGGGGCTATAATCCTGGAAGTGGAAAGAACATAATTGCACCATAAACCAGCCACTGCCAGGTGCTCCTCGCAAGATTTCTGACAGAGGAGTGAAAAGAATAATCAGAAAAGTTATCCAAGAGCCAAGGAACAGTTGTGACGAGCTTCAGAAAGACCTGGAATTAGGTACAATTGTGTCAAAGAAAACAATAAGCAATGCACTCAACCACCATGGCCTGTATGCACGCTCACCATGCAAGACTCCATTGCTGAAGAAAAAGCATGTTGAAGCTCGTTTAAAGTTTGCTGCACAACATTTAGACAAGCCTGTGAAATACTGGGAGAATATAGTCTGGTCAGATGAGACCAAAATTGAACTCTTTGGATGCCATAATACACACCATTTGTGGAGGTCAAGTGGCACTGCACATCACCCTAAAAACAGCATACCAACAATGAAGTTTGGAGGTGGGAACATCAGGGTGTGGGGCTGTTTTTCAGCATATGGTACTGGCAAACTTAATTTTGTTGAAGGAAGGATGATTGGAAAAATGTACCAAGTCATTCTTATAAAAATCTGTTGCCATCTACCAGGATGATGAAGACGAAACAGGACATTTTCAGAAAGAAAATGATCCCAAACACAAAGAAAATAAAGCTGATAGAATGGCCAAGCCAGTCACCTGATTGAATTCAATAGAAAATCTATGGAAAGAATTTAATTTCAGAGTTCATAAACGGAACCTTCAAGATTTGAAAAATGTGTAGAAGAATGGGCCAAAATCACACCTGAGCAATGCATGCGACTTGTTTCTTCATACAGGAGGTGTCTTGACATTGTCATTACCAACAAAGGATTTTGTTTGAAGTATTAAATAAATTTCAGTTAGCGTGTTCAGTACTTTTTTTTTTTTTCCTATGTCATTCCATTTTATTACACATAACTTAATTTCTGAACGTATTTGTTTTGGTTTCTTTGTATGTATGGATTGCATTGATTGTTACCAATGTGTTGTGAAAATTCATGTCAGTAGCACCTTTCAGAAATCTATTTACTGAGAAAAATGGTGACGTGTTGAATACTTATTTTTACCCTCTGTATACTAATTTTTATTTTTTTTTATTAAAATGCACTTTAATAACTTATGCACTTTCTGTTTAAAATTATGTTTGTGTGGCGATAAATATATAATTGTTTTTTTTCTTTTGTTTTAGGCCTGTTGAGGAGCCAACCACATGGACGGGTTATTTTGGAAAAGTTATCATGGCTTCCACCAGTTACTTGCCCTCTCAAGTAACTGAAATGTTCAACCAAGGAAGAGCTTTTGCAACTATTCGTTTGCCTTTTTGTGGTCACAAAAAACATCTGTGCATTAGCAATGTAATTTCAGATCTTTTTTCCCACTACTTCTGTCAAAAACAATCTTGTAAGAAGGGATTTATGTCCAACTCCAGGTTGCAAAAATAAGTGAAAATTAGTTGGCGCTATAAAAAATTCTGCATTTACTGTAACACCAACCTCCCAGCATGGACTCGCGCTTAATCTGGTAGCTGCTTTCACACTTCGAGGTTGAATGACGCCCAGACTCGCTCAACCCAGAAGTAGTCACAGTCATGACTTCTCCACCTGTAATCCTCTGGGCTACAGAAAGTGTAGTCATCAAACAGTCTGCCAGCACTGGTAGTGCATACATCTCATTGCTGTGTGAAGTGTGTGTTGCTGTACTGTACCCACAGGCTGACACTGGCTAAAAAAAAACATGTTGGAAATCATGTGAGCATTGTTTGAAGATTTTCATGCAAGTAGAGGGTAAATTTGTAAAAACAAAATACAATGGGGTTGATTTCCAGGTCCTGGAGAGTGCAAAGTTTGCAGCTTTGCATGGTAGCCAGTCAGCTTCTAACTTCAAGGATAAGTTCACCTTTTGAGAACATGTTACATGTTCCACCCGTTTTTTAAAGAGTGGAACAGGTAACATGTTCCCAGTGCTGCAGCCATTGCCCTATTTTGTGATAGAAGTATGGGGAGAATTTCCATGTACAAGCTGTCATTTTTTTAAAAACAGCGCGGCCGTGCGGCGCTCTGTCCTGTGAATGAACTAGAAGTCCTGACAACCTTAGCAGGTGTCTGATTGTAGTTTACAATGAATCTGAAAAGCGCCTTGGTAGATAATTGAATATTCCTGTCAGTATACAGTGGATATAAAAAGTCTACACACACCTGTTTAAATGTCAGGTTTCTGCGATGTAAAAAAAATTAGACAAAGATAAATAATTTCAGAACTTTTTCCACCTTTTAATGTAACCTATAAACTTTACAACTCAGTTGAACTACAAACTGAAATCTTTTAGGTGGAGGAAAGTAAAAATAACAACTAAAAATAATATTGTTGCATATGTGTGCATACCCTTAAACTACCGTGTTTTTCGCTCCATAAGACGCGCTTTTTTCCCCCCCAAAAAGGGGAAAATGTCAGTGCGTCTTATGGAGCGAATATGGAGCGGCCGGTCCGGTATTTCCTCCGCCGCCGTGTCAGAATACCGGGCCGGCCGCTCAGCTCTGCAGTGGGACCTTACCTGTTCCTCTATCCAGCGGCGCGCTGTCTTCCCGGCTTCTGTAGTGTGCGTGACAGCCGGGTCCCAAGTGCACATGTGCAAGAAGTGGTGCTCTTTGTGAATGGTAAGGCGGTACCTGGGACACATGACAGATCCCAGAAGCCGCCGGACCAATCACAAAGCGCAGAGCTTCTCGCTCATGCGCACTGGGCATCCGGCTGTCCGCCGAGCGCCCACACTACAGAAGCCGGGTAGACAGCGCGCGGCTGGATAGAGGAACAGGTAAGATCAAAGAACAACTCCGTGGAAGTAAGAGCGGGTACCTGTCAAATTCAGGTACCCCCTTCCCTCCCCAAAGGTCTGCAGTCATCTCCTGTACTGTCTGCAGTCTCTGGCCATCCCTGTACTGTCCGCAGTCTCTGGCCATCCCTGTACTGTCCGCAGTCTCTGGCCATCCCTGTACTGTCCGCAGTCTCTGGCCATCCCTGTACTGTCCGCAGTCTCTGGCCATCCCTGTACTGTCCGCAGTCTCTGGCCATCCCTGCTGTCCGCAGTCTCTGGCCATCCCTGTACTGTCCGCAGCTGGCCATCCCTGTACTGTCCGCAGTCTCTGGCCATCCCTGTACTGTCCGCAGTCTCTGGCCATCCCTGTACTGTCCGCAGTCTCTGGCCATCCCTGTACTGTCCGCAGTCTCTGGCCATCCCTGTACTGTCCGCAGTCTCTGGCCATCCCTGTACTGTCCGCAGTCTCTGGCCATCCCTGTACTGTCCGCAGTCTCTGGCCATCCCTGTACTGTCCGCAGTCTGCCATCCCTGTACTGTCCGCAGTCTCTGGCCATCCCTGTACTGTCCGCAGTCTCTGGCCATCCCTGTACTGTCCGCAGTCTCTGGCCATCTCCTCTACTGTGTCCGCAGTCTCTGGTCATCTCCTCTACTGTGTCCGCAGTCTGGTCATCTCCTCTAAAGTGTCCGCAGTCTCTGGTCATCTCCTCTACTGTGTCCGCAGTGTCTGCATCTCCTCTACTGTGTCCGCAGTCTCTGGTCATCTCCTCTACTGTGTCCGCAGTCTCTGGTCATCTCCTCTACTGTGTCCGCAGTCTCTGGTCATCTCCTGTACTGTGTCCGCAGTCTCTGGTCATCTCCTCTACTGTGTCCGCAGTCTCTGGTCATCTCCTCTACTGTGTCCGCAGTCTCTGGTCATCTCCTGTACTGTGTCCGCAGTCTCTGGTCATCTCCTCTACTGTGTCCGCAGTCTCTGGTCATCTCCTCTACTGTGTCCGCAGTCTCTGGTCATCTCCTCTACTGTGTCCGCAGTCTCTGGTCATCTCCTCTACTGTGTCCGCAGTCTCTGGTCATCTCCTCTACTGTGTCCGCAGTCTCTGGTCATCTCCTCTACTGTGTCTGCAGTCTCTGGTCATCTCCTGTACTGTGTCCGCAGTCTCTGGTCATCTCCTGTACTGTGTCCGCAGTCTCTGGTCATCTCCTGTACTGTCCGCAGTCTCTGGTCATCTCCTCTACTGTGTCCGCAGTCTCTGGTCCTCTACTGTGTCCGCAGTCTCTGGTCATCTCTACTGTGTCTGCAGTCCATTAGTTCAGAATTTTTTTTTTCCTGTTTTCTGCCTCTAAAACCTAGGTGTGTCTTATGGTCAGGTGCGTCTTATAGAGCGAAAAATACGGTAATATTTTTTTTGAAGCACCTTTTGCTTTTGTTACAGCACTCATTCTTTTTGGTGTGCGTCTTAGGATGGCAAATCTTGACTTGGCAATATTTGCTCACTCTAACTTGCAAAAACACACCATATCTGTCAGATTGCCAGGGCATCTCCTGCGCTCAGCTCTCTTTAAATCACCCCGTAGATTTTCAATCGGATTCAGGTCTAAGCTCTGGGCCATTCCAAAACTTTAATCTTCTTCTGGTGAAGCCATTCCTTTGTTGCTTTGGATGTATGCTTTGGGTTATGTTCATCTTTCTAGCAGAAGCCTGAAAGTTTTTTGTGCCAATATTGACTGGTATTTAGAACTGTTCATAATTCCCTCTACCTTGACTAAGGCCCCAGTTCCAGCTGAAGAAAAACCACCCCAAAGCATGATGTTGCCACCGCCATGCTTCACTGTGGGTATGGTGTTCTTTTGCTGATGTGTAGTGTTGTTTTTGCACCAAACATATCTTTTGGAATTATGGCCAAAAAGTTGAACCTTGGTTTCATCAGACCATAAAACCTTTTCCCACATGCTCTTGGGAGACTTCAGATGTGTTTTTGCAAAATTTAGCCAGGCTTGGATGTTTTTCTTTGTAAGAAAAGGCTTCCGTCTTGCCACTCTACCCCATAGCCCATACACATCAAGAATACGGGAGATTGTTGTCACATGTACCAAGCAGCCAGTACTTGCCAGATATTCCTGCAGCTGCTTTAATGTTGCTGTAGGCCTCTTGGCAGCCTTCCAGACTAGTTTTTTCTTCTCGTCTTTGCATCAATTTTGAAGGAACGTCCTTTCTTGGTAATGTCACTGTTACGTCCTATTTCTCCATTTGATGATGACTGTCTTCAGTGTGTTCCATGGTATATCTAATGCCTTGGAAATTCTTTTGTACCCTTCTCCTGACTGATACCTTTTAACAATGAGAATCCCTCTGATGCTTTGGAAGCTCTCATGGCTTTTGCTGTAGGATACGACTAAGAAAATGTCAGGAAAGACCTACTAGGATAGCTGGACTTTATTTGGGGTCATTCAGAGGCACTTTAAATGATGGCATGTGAGTACTGACTCCTATTTAACATGATTTTGAATGTGATTGCTTAATTCTGAACATAGCTACATCCCCAGTTATAAGAGGGTATGCACACTTATGCAACCACATTATTTTAGGTTTTTTTATGTTTACTGCCCCTCCCTAAAAGATTTGTTTGTTTTTCAATTGAATTGTCACATTTAAAGTAGAAAAAGTTCTGAAATTATTTCTTTGTCACATTTTTATACATCATACAAACCTGACATTTTAACAGGGGTGTGTCGACTTTTTATATCCACTGTGTCTGCTTGCCTGTATGGGACCTAAGTACATCTAAGTAAAATGCTTTGCAGGCTTCTGCAACCACAAATAATAAATGCATCTTTTGTACCTGCAAAACCCTTTGGATATGGAGAAAATGTATATTTTTCTGTTCCTTTTTTTTTTTTTTTTTAACCTAAATTAAGCAAAAAAATTTTGTTTTGAAGTGAGCAAGTAAAGTTTAAAACCTGTCTGGTTTATCTTGCTATCTTTTGTCCCTAAAGAGGTGAATTCTTCATCATTTCCTGTCTGTGAAGGAAATGAGGAGAAATATCTTATTAGGGAGTCAAATAACACATTTTAGTAGAGGGAAGGATTTAAGTTTAAGACAATGTTTTTATTTCTTTAATTGCCTTTCTGTAGGTGACAGTTACAGTGGGGAAAAATTCTTGATCCCCTGCAGATTTTGTACGTTTGCCCACTTCTAAAGAAATGAAAGGTCTATCATTTTTATGATGTGTATATTTTAAATGATAGAGACAGAATTTCAACCAAAGATCCAGAAAAAACACGTTACAAATGTTATAAATTGATTTGAAGATCAATGAGTAAAATAGGTATTTGATCCCCTACCAACCAACAATAATTCTGGCTCCCACAGATTGGCTGTGCACTCGTGGTATGGTATGTTCTTTCAAGTTAAGAAGGTGCTCCTAATGACAACTCGTTATGTGTATAAAAGACACCTGTCCACATCTTTCTTCCATTCAAACCACACCATCCTGGGCAAGACCAAAGAGCTATCAAAGGATGTCGGGACAAGCTTGCACCCTGCACAAGGCTGGAATGGACTACAAGACCATCAGCAAGAAGCTTGGTGAGGAGGAAACCTTTGTTGGAGTGATTTCTCGCAAATGGAAGAAATACAAAATAACCATCAATCATCCTTGGTCTGGAGCTCCATTCAAGATTTCACCTCCTGGCGTAAGGATGATCATGAGAAAAGTGAGGATTTAGCCCAGAACTACATGGGAGAAGCTTGTGAATGATCTCAAGGCAATTGGGACCACAATGGCCAAACAAACCATTGGTAAAACAATACGCCGCTATGGATTGAAAAAAGGCCCATCTGAAGTTTGCCAGTGAACATCTAAATGATTCAGAGAGGGATTGGGAGAAAATGCTGTGGTCAGATAAGACCAAAATTGAGCTCTTGGACATTAACTCAACTCGCCATGTTTGGAGGAAGCAAAATGCTGACCATGACCCTAAGAACAGTCAACCATGGAGGTGGAAACATTATGCTTTAGAGCTGTTTCTCTGCTAAAGGTACAGGCCAACTTTGCCGCATTGAGGGGCCAATGGACAGGGCCATGTATTGTAAAATCTTGGATGAGAACTTTATTCCCTCAGCCAGAACACTGAAGGTTTGGCTTCCAGTATGACAATGACCCAAAACATACCGCCAAGGCAACAAAGGGAGTGGCTGAAGAAGGAGCACATTAAGGTCATGGAGTGGCCTAGCCAGTCTCTAGACTTTAATCCTATAGAAAATTTATTGAGAGATATGAAAGTTCGGGTTGCCAAGCGACAGCCAAGCTTTAAGAATTTAGAGAAGAGCTGTAAAGAAGAGTGGACCAAAATCCTTCCTGCAATGTGTGCAAACCAGGTAACCAACTACAAGAAACATCTTTTCTCTGTGCTTGCCAGCAGGGGTTTCTCCACCAAGTACTAAGTCATGTTTTGCTTAGGGATCAAATACTTGTTTTACTCACTGAACTGCAACTCAATTTATAGCCTTTGTATCATGTGTTTTTACTGGATTTTTGGTTGATATTCTGTCTCACTGTCATTTAAAATACACCTATGATAAAAAAATTAGACCCTGCATTTCATTGTAAGTGGGCAAACTTACAAAATCTGCAAGGGATCAAATAATAATTTTCCCACTATATGACCTTATCCTCCGTGTGTTGTTTTTTTTATTAATAGTCACAAGCAGGGATGAGCTCAGGCGTGTTCGAACCCTAGTCTGAATTCACCTGAGCTATCCTGCCAGGAAGCTGTTGCTGCACACCACCAAACATAAGTGGCCAGGCATTCCCTACTCTGCAGCTACATATGTATACATGCAGCTGTGGGGCATGGGAATGTCTTGGGCAAGAATGACTGGCAGTACGCAGTGACTGCTTCCTGGCGGGGGTTCAGATTAGGATCCAAACATGCCTGAGCTCCTCCCTAGTCACAAAGTCAAGAAGAAAGATTAACTGTTTCCAACTGGGGAAAACTGGTTTAAATTTCATTTTAACTTTTATTCTCTCTAATTCTTGTCCAATTTGAAAAACGTTTCTGCAGTTAGCCTTTGAATTTTCTTTAATACAGTTAGGCTGCAAAAGTATATAGCTAAATTCCTCTTGGTCCTTAAGCAAGATGAAAACTTTGACGCTGCAGTAAATAAATCTTCTGTAGCTGTTTCCTCACGTTTTTTCTCTAGACATCAAACAAACTTCACAAATGTAAAGGGTTAATTTCACTTGTAGGGACAGCGTTTTGACTAAGGATAAATTTTAAAGGTTGCTTCTCTAAACAAATGCCAGCAGCTGCAACCTGTAATAGAAGAGGATGAATACTGTTGTTACCCTTACTTTTTAATATATTTATAGATATAGGGTCTGAGATTAAAAATCCCATTTCAGTCTTTGCAGATGACCCCAAGCTGTGCAGTGGAATAACGTCCTTACAGGATGTCTTCAACTTACAAGCTGACCTCCGTGCACTGTGTAATTGGGCAACTTTGTGGCAAATGAGGTTTAATGTTGATAAATGTAAGGTTATGCACTTGGGGGCTAAGAATATACATGCATCATACATACTATGGGGAGTACAACTGGGGGAATCAGTGGTGAAGGATCTAGGGGTTCTGGTAGATCACAAGCTTAAAATGGCATGCAATGCCAAGCTGCGGTTTCTAAAGCGAGCAAAATCCTCTCTTGTATTAAGAGGTATAGACTCCAGTGAGAGAGATATCATATTACCCCTGTACAAATCATTAGTAAGACCTCAACTTGAATATGCAGTTCAGTTTTGGGCACCAATTCACAAAAAGAACATTGGGGAACTGAAGAAAGTACAGAGAAGGGCAACCAAACTGATAAGAGGCATGAAGGAGCTCAGCTATGAGGAAAGATTAGAGGAACTGAATTTATTCTCTCTTGAGAAGAGGAGATTAAGGGGGGATATGATCAACATGTATAAATACATCAGTGGTTCATATAGTGAACTCGGTGTAGAGCTATTCACCCTGAGGTCATCACAGAGGAAAAGGGGCCACTCTTTACGTCTGGAGGAAAAGAAATGTAATCTCCAAACTCGGAAAGGTTTCTTCACAGTGAAAGCTATGAAAATGTGTAATAGACTCCCTCAAGAGTTGGTTCTAGCTAGCTCAGTGGATTGCTTTAAAAAAGGCCTGGATTGCGTCTTGGATACACAGAATATAACTGGATATTAACATTTATAGGTAAAGTTGATCCAGGGAATATCCGATTTGCCTCTCGAGGGATCAGGAAAGAATTTTTTCCCCAGCAGGAGCAAATTGGATCATGCTTTGCTGGGTTTTTTTTTTTTGCCTTCCTCTGGATCAACTGTGGGTATAGGATTATAACTTTTTTTTTTTTCTCTATGGTTGAACTCGATGAACTTTTTGTCTTTTTTTTCAGCCAGACTAACTATGTAACTACTTGCCTCTCCAGGAAGCAGCAAGTCCATTAGTCAGTCTTCTAAAGAGCTTACCAGCACAGCTGCTATTCAACACTACTCGATGTATTGGATAGTGTGTACCCCGCTGGGTGCCCTGGTTCCTCCTGCTGGATACGGAGTCCTATATTGACTGCTTGTTGCAGAGTAATCATCCTCTTATATTACAGGTTGCAGCTGTTGCCGCTTTATTTTAGGGAAGAAATAGAATCATGTAAACTTTTAAAAGGAGCAAATTTGCACATTCATTTTTCACTATTCTCTATCCTTTGAGACCTGTGCTCAAAGATCCCATCCGTTTAAAAACATTACATTTCTTATAGCTGTGAATTTACACCGAGTAAGGCATTTCAGTAGCCCTTTTAGATATGCAGGCTTTTCCTAGCTCAAAACTGGTTGGTAGAATTCACATGAGCTGACCCCAGCTAAATAGCTCAGACCATCAAAGCTCCTCCTTCAGCTTTTCTCTTCTGTGTTTGCATTTCTGTTCTGTATGGTGACACTGACACTGCACTAAAGACAATGCTATACAGAAATCGTTCTATTGCTCATGACTTATCCCTAGATGTTTTTCTCTGTGGGGCCATTGGGGATGCACATTAACCTTTATTGTAATGACACTGATTTATTTAGAATTTAGATTTTAATATGTATAATAAAATGTTCACATTTAGGATTCAAAAGATTCCTCGTTTACTTGTTGCTGCAGCAGATGGTTACCTTTACATTTATAATCTGGACCCACAGGAGGGCGGCGAGTGCACGCTAATGAAACAACACAGGTAAGAAAAAATGTCTTGCAAAATATCACAAAGCTGTGAACACTTAATTGTTGCTAATCACCTCTTCCGGCTAGCAATCTGTAATTTTTAATTTTTTTGTATTTCATTGGTTTTTATTCATTTATAACCGTGTAACACAGGAGCAATAAATCGCGCCCACGCAGGGGCTATCAATTGCACATCCAAAAAGTGAAAATTTAGAAAAATCAGTGCTCTAACACCACCAGAGCAAAAGGTGAACTATCAGTGGAATTTAAATAACAAAACATTAGTATAACACTGATAGTAACTTAAACTGAAGGCAGCTATCCACTGCCACACCAAAAGCAAACAAAAAAAAGAAATAACAAAACCAAGAGCAGGAATCCAAGAACGGCAATACCGAACGACATCACATCCCCAAACTAGCTGGGGGGGGGGGGGGGGGGTGCGTGGGAAAGGGACATTGCAACCACGGCTCCCATATTTTCATGAATTTATGTTGGGAGTCGTTGCAGATACTCAACATCTGTTCATTGAGCATCATAGTGGTCATACGGTCCTGCACCCCCTGAAGAGGGACAAACGGGCTCTTCCAGGCCTGAGCAATTGTTCTAGTGGCCGACGCAATCTGTAATTCTTAACAATTTCCACCATATTATCTCATGCTGTGTTATTAAACAAATTCCTTTCAAGAGTAAACTGTGACCATTTTGAGTAACTGGTTGCTCCCAATGCCAGCTACATTTAACATCTGGTCTGTACATTGTATTGGGAATCAATCAGAATGGTTCTTGATCATATGATCACTGTTGGCTATGATTTAGCGATCACATGCATGCTGGAGTTGTCATTGACTAAACTAAACTTTCAGCCTCCAGATAACACTGCAGCCTGAACGTAGTAGTTTTCACCTCAATATCGTACCCGTCAGATACATTTACATTATTTAAAATAATTTAAAAAATAGAAAACAGTATCTTTTCATCTGTGTGCATTTGTCAGCCTATAATAAAAATCAGTAATTGGCTTGGGCATAATAATAATAATCCACGATCTCTGGTCTGGAGGAGTAGTAAAGTAACCTGTGGTCTTACTGCCCCAGGAGTTTATAGTAGGCACCTACACAGCTACAAACATTTGTACACAGGCTATTTCCTTAAATTGGGTCTTGGCCTGCCTCTTCTCTTCGTTCAGACAAACTAATGAGAATGGCTTAGGAGCATAGGGAAGGTGAGTATAGGTAGCAGAAATGGATACCAGTTATTTGAATCTGTTGCTTTGCACTGTGTGATTGTGACAAAGAGTATGTGAAATCAAAGGAGAAATTGTCCAGAGAAAAGTAGAGGTTGAACATATCAGATAAAGGAAACTGGGGGTGAGGGTAATATGCATGCTGCAATTAGTGATCGTGACACAGAACAACAGTGTAGGTCAGGAAGACCATTTGATTTCACTAGCAGATAGCTTGTTCTGTTTCTGTAATTTTATTATGCAGATCTGTAGTTCTGAGTACTGACTTTTCTGATTTGCATACTTGTCCCAGAAATTATTAAAGCCAGATACTGTCATCAATGAGCATTTTAAAAAAAGATGGCAAGCATGAAAGTCCATGGTGTTCTCTTAGTGTGGGTTTTATGTAGGAAAGGTAAGCAGATCCACTCAGCCAAGATATCCATAAGTGTCATGTAACTGCTGTATACTGCCAATCTAAACTGGTACCTGCAGCTAGTGTCAGGACTGTTAGATACTTGTCAGACCCATTAATCATAGGGGAGTGATATTGGTGACTGGAAAATCTACTGCTGTCCTAAGGAAATGTGTTGGGTAAATCTGTAGATTCCAAAGCTACAGGAAATGGAAATTAACAGTTTGTGCCATGTAATGTTGTTTTTTTTTTTTCTTTTTTTAGCTTAGCGTGTATTTAAACCCTGAAAGTTAAATTCTCTTAAGTGCTCTCCTTTAGTCTGTTATAAATATACTATTGAAAGCATTTTGTTATCTGTTCATGAAGAGCAAAATATACTTGTGGATCCTATATGAAATTCAGTGCTGGCCTGTGCACTCCTACCAAACAGTCTTATTGTTGCCCTCCGTGGAATACAGAATTCCTCTTTTCGATATTCTGTAGAGGGTGCGAGATTCTGTAGCTCTAGTACGCTTCTCTTCTATGGTGACAACTCCTGTGCTTCTTCAAATATACAATTGGGTAAGTGGGCATTGTCACCATAGGACAGGTGGTGTGATATAGGCAGGATCGCTGGGTGGAAAAATACCTGAAAGTTACCTGTTATATTGTAGTTCTAACCGTTTGTATTGCTAAAGAGACGTGAAAAGAAATTACTTTTATAACCAACTTAAAATGGTAAGTGAATTTCTCCTTTTAAAAAGTAGAAATAATTTAACAGAAAAGATGTCCTTGTACTAATCCTTGGAAAGCTCTCAGTAAAACTCAAAAAATTAGAATATCATGCAAAAGTTAATTTATTTCAGTATTGCAACTTAAAAAGTGAAAGTAATGAGATAGACTCATTACATGCAAAGCAAGATAGTTCAAGCCATGATTTCTTATAATTGTGAGGATTATGGCTTACAGCTCATGAAAACCCCAAATCCACAATCTCAGAAAATTAGAATATTGTGAAAAGGTGCAATATTCTAGGCTCAAAGTGTCCCACTCTAATCGGCTAATTAAGCCATAACACCTGCAAAGGGTTCTTGAGCCTTTAAATGGTCTCTCAGTCAGGTCAGCAGTCTTTCCCATGATTGTGATTCCTACTGAACCAGACAGTTGTGCAGAAAACTATCATTGACACCACCTGTAAGGAGGGAAAGCCTCAAAAGGTAATTGCAAAAAAAGTTGGATGTTCCCAAAGTGCTGTATCAAAGCACATTAATAGAAAATTATGTGGAAGGGAAAAGTGTGGAAGAAAAAAGGTGCACAAGCAGCAGGGATGACCGCAGCCTGGAGAGGATTGTCAGGAAAAGGCCATTCAAAAGTGTTGGGGACTTTCACAAGGAGTGTACTGAGGCTGGAGTCAGTGCATCAAGAGTCACCACACACAGACGGATCCTGGACATGGGCTTCAAATGTTATATTCCTCTTGTCAAGCCGCTCCTGAACAACAAACAACGTCAGAAGCGCCTTACCTGGGCTAAAGAAAAACAGACCTGGTCTGTTGCTCAGTGGTCCAAAGTCCTCTTTTCTGATGAGAGCAACTTTTGCATCTCATTTGGAAACCAAGGACCCAGAGTATGGAGGAAGAATGGAGAGGCACACACTGCAATATGCTTGAAGTCCAGTGTGAAGTTTCCACAGTCTGTGTTGATTTGGGGAGCCATGTCATCTGCTGGTGTTGGTCCACTGTGCTTCATTAAGTCCAGGGTCAACGCAGTCATCTACCAGGAGATTTTGGAGCACTTCATGCTTCCTTCCGCACAAGTTTTATGGGGATGCTGACTTCATTTTCCAGCAAGACTTGGCACCTGCCCACACTGCCAAAAACTCCACAACCTGGTTCAATGACCGTGGGATTACTGTACTTTATTGGCCAGCAAACTCGCCTGATCTGAACCCTATAGAGAATCTATGGGGCATTGCCAAGAGAAAGATGAGAGACATGAGACAGAACAATGCAGAAGAGCTGAAGGCCGCTATTGAAGCATCCTGGTCTTCCATAACACCTAAGCAGTGCCACAGGCTGATAGCTTCCATGCCACGTCGCATTGAGGCAGTAATTGCTGCAAAAGGGGCCCAAACCAAGTACTAAGTACATATGCATACTTATACTTTTCAGAGGTCCGATATTGTTCTATGTACAATCTTTGTTTTATTGATTGCATGTAATATTCTAATTTTCTGAGATTGTGGATTTGGGGTTTTCATGAGCTGTAAGCCATAATCATCACATGTAATAGTTTCACCTTTTAAGTTGCATTACTGAAATAAATGAACTTTTGCACGATATTCTAATTTTTCGAGTTTCACCTGTGTATATAAGACCATTCATTTATTTGCACTTCTATTTTGAGTTAGAATAAGTGATTGATAGTTATGTTTGTTTTTCGTTCAGGTTGGATGGCAGTATGGAGCCTGCTAATGAAATTCTAGAGCCGGCATCACATGAAAGACCATTAGTATCCAAGAACTACAGTGGTGCAGCAACAAAAGATACATATTCTACATCACCAACAAATCATGGTAAGACCTCACAAATATCATTTTACATGACTGTTGTAAAAACTGCAAAATGTATATTGGTCATTTTACTCAGTCATATTAAACTAAAAAACAAATGTAATATATTGCATACCAGTTCTTATCAGCATTAGCTTCCTGTTTTTAGGCTTTTTTTTTTTTTTTTTTTTTTTAACTGATCCAGCTAGTAAGGCTATTTTTCAATTCTTTTAACAGACCAAACTGTTCAGAAAAAGTACCAGTTAGAAGGCTGAGACAAAGTATTTAACACTGACAGGGGTGCTTACAGTGATCCGCTTTTTATTCATGTAAAACCTTTATCCCAAAAGGTATTAAAAAAAAAAAAAAAAAAAAAAAAAAAAAAAAAAAAACTTCTTAGAAACTGTTACCTGGAGTTTGGCATTTTTGTCTCCTCCAGGAGTAGACACACCCTAAGCCAAGGCAGTACGTTACTAGCCTTGATCCCCAGTTGGGGAAAAAAGGTTAAAAATAATCAAACCGGAAACTATATTTAAGGACTAGTATGAATTTTTTACTACTTGAAACCCTGATGTTGCCAGTGTTTATTATTCATCCATTCAGGGGCATAGGAATACAGTGGGGTTATACAGACATCTGCAGGAGGATTTTACACTGGCAAACAAGATTGTGGGCCAACCTTGGATAACCCCTGCTACTCTCAGCATGCTTCAGTTCTTTTACTATTATTGTAGGGGTTGGATGCCTTTCTCTTCAGTCTAGATAATTTTGCTAGCCTTCTTATTTCATGTTTTTTATTCCTTGGTGACTTTAAGATTCTTGGTATACCGCTGGTGTTTTTTTCTCGGTGACTTCAATCAATATTCCTTGCTACACTGCAGCTTGATCTGCTCTTCACATCGCAACTATCTACAAAGGCAGTTCTTCAGCACTAAGTTTGGAGGCTGTACCCAGACAACACTTGACTACTCGTGTGGCTTGCCTGAAATGTGACCTTTGGGCACTGGGCTCTGCATTGTCACTTTTTAGATCTGTGTGCACTGTGTTATTACGCTACACACCACTTCCCAGGTTCAGAGGCGTGGTACAGCCCCAGGTGTGTCTGAAGTGTCATTTTCTGATTAAGGCAGGTTGAGCTAAAGCACTGGGAACTACCTTGCAACAGCACCACTGGGTCCTGCCTGTGCTGATTTTTGAGGTACTGAATGCATCTGCTTTGTGGAGGATTGCATGCCCTTTCCATTCAGCATAAAGGAACCATCATAGCACTGCTGCTCTTGCTTTGCAAAGCAGCAAGTGGAACTCTGATCCCCCTCTTAAAGTAGAACTCCAGTCTAAACCTAGCTAGTCATAAAATGTCCTTACCTCTCCCAACACCTATGCTGACTAACCTGTGTAAAAAGAAAAAAAAAAAGTTAAATATATACTTGCCTATTTTCAGCCTTCTCTTGCCTAGTGACATGATCTGGCTTCCCTGTGCAATCCAGCAGCAGATGCACGGGTAAGGAGGGAGCACCAACAACAGCTGGGACATGGGAGCCTAGAGGTGACATCACTGCCTAGCCCTTATTGAGCACCCTCTCCTCTCCCCTGCATTTGCTGCTGACAGACACTGGATCACGTGACCAAACTAGAGCAGGCTGAAAAAGTATATACATCTTGCAAACATCGGTTAGTCAGCAATAGGTATAAGGAGTAGGGAGGGGACAATTTTAATGTTTCAGGTGGAACTCTACTTTAAGTCTACAGTAGACTTATCCCCTCCCACCATGTAACCCTCATCAGCACCAATTTCATGTTTTGTTTGAGTATTTGAGGCCTTGCCTTACACTTTGGGCCTAGTTAAATCACTGCCATGTGGTGGCAGCATGTCTGTACATAGACACAGAGGAAACACATGCTTGTAGTCTGGATTGCAGTGATCCTGTAGTTATAGGGTTTACATCATCAGATGCGCTTTGTGTGAGGTAGAGTCCCCTTTCCTAATGTCAGGGGCCTCTACTGCAGTCACTCAAAACTTTGTGGATGGTTTCACATACTTTCTCATGGATATTGACTGCATGGTTCTTAGCATGTGCTAGCACCACCTCCTACATGGTCAAACCTCAGGAGACCTTAGGACAGGCTGGGCCCCAGTCACTGGGGCCACCTCTGACGCCGACTTAGTCCCAACAGTCTATCACCGAATAGACTTTGAGGCCTTGCACTCTCATCCTGTCATCTTAGAATTACAGGGGCTCATTTCTGCCCTTATTGATGCAGTATGTACTACTGCATTTAAAGAATCAGTCTGTTGTTTCCAGCCTTAGAATTGAGGATGTAATGCAAGGTCTGTACAGCAGTAGGAGCTCTAAAACCCAATTAATTTTCTTTGCCGACTGGAAGCACCCTGAATGGTTCTCGGGACCCCCTGAAAGCATGTCAGAGAGCTTGTCAGACCTATTTCTTTGAGAGGAATTTTGTCTAACATTTGTCCACCCACTGTGCATCTGCCAGTGACTTTCCTTAACAGTAAAAGCACTTTGAAGGTGTAAGATGTAAGGGACAGCAGTTCTTTGCTCTGGCAGGTTCTACCCTCAGTCCTTTGTTGGCTGTGACCTTTCCTTGATAAACTCTGGCAGAATAAGGTAGATCCCTCGAAAGGGACCTCTTCTCTGCCAGAGTGCTGCCCTTCTTAAATGAATGGGTGGAAGAGATCTCTGGTGGCTTACACTGTGATGGCTTGTTACAAGAATCTAAACTACTGTCCTGCATGGGCCTGTTTTCTGTACAGATGTGTTGACCCCTCTAATTAAGGTGCCTGGATGTCGATGCCCCTTTAGAGCATTTGACTTACCTAGCCTTTAACCACTTCCCAACCGGCCGTTGCATATAAACGGCCAGACGGTGGCAGTGCAGAGTCGGGTGGCCGTTTATAAACTGCCTCCCCGCACCCTTGTGCACCCGTGATCCGGTGCCCGCTGTGTCCTCCGGACACAGTGAAACACCGATCGTCGGGCAGGACCTCGTACAGAGCCAATCAGTGATCACATGCAAAGTAGTAAGCAAGATGTCACTTGTGACATCATTGCTTACTACGTGTGAAATCTGTGAATGATCACAGAGGTCACATGGTACAAGGCTATTCACAACAGCCTTGTACCATGTGACAAGCTGTGACCAATCACAGCTCACTCAGTACTTCTCAATGAGTGCAAGAATGCACACAGAGAGAAAGAGAAATGATTGTTTTTACATCCTATATGGGTGTAAAAGCAATCGGTGTAAAAAAAAAAAAAAAAAAAAAATCACCCCCCACAAGTAGTACAGTGTCACCATGTTGACACTGTACTGCTAGGGCAGGGGTAGGCAACCTGCGGCTCTCTAGCTGTTGTGGAACTACATTTCCCATGAGGCATTGCAAAGATTACAAAACTGACAGTTACAGCTATGACTTGCAGAGGCATGATGGGACTTGTAGTCCTGCGGCTCTCAGGTTGCCTACCCCTGTGCTAGGGTGACAGTATGTAAAAAAAATAAAAATAAAAAATATAAAAAAAAAAAATAAAAATATAAAAAAAAAGTTTAAAAATTATAATTTTTGGTTATAAACTAATTTGGATTTTTTTTTTACTAAAAAGATAACGGAATACATTTTGGCAAAGATTTATGATGAAATATTTATTTGCAAGAGTTTATTAAACACGAGTTTTTTTTTTTTTAAAAAAAAATTTGGACTTTTTCATTTACATAGTAAAAAAAATAAAAATCCCAGCGGTGAATAAATACCACCAAAATAAAGCTTTATCTGTCTCAAAAAAATGGTAAAAAATTCATTTGGGTACAGTGTTGCATGACCGCGCAATTGTCATTCAAAGTGTGATAGCGCTGAAAGCTGAAAACTGCCCTGGTCAGGAAGGGGGTAAAAGTGTCCGGTCTGGAAGTGGTTAAGGGATACCGCCACCTTGGATCTCATGGGAGCAGGAGCCCCAGAGAGAGAGCTCCCTTCATCCATTTCTACAGTAGGTCCCTTTTAGGCCCCAGAGTCTGATTCTTAGTTTACACTTCAGGGATAAATTTAAGAAAATTGCTAAATCTGATATTTTTCATTAGGGGCACCCTACTTCTACAAGGAAATTTTCAGGGTCCATAGCAAGCTTCCCCTGCAGGCATTTAGATATAGAGAGCACCCCTTTATGTACTAATTCCTCACCCCCAGCACTCATTAATTTGTGCATCCAAGCTGCTACACAGCCTGTAGCATTTTCTATTGCTCATTAATTTACTGTTAGTAAATTAGTGTAATTTTATCAGTTTATATAATATTCATGTGTTGATACTCAATAGAAACTATTTTATTAAGAATAAGCAAGAAAAGTAAGGCAAGTTATTGAATGCAAATATCTCATTGTAAAGAATTCTGTGAGTTTTAACCGGAAAAGGTTGCACAGGAGTACCAAAAGCATTTTTTAGATGCTGTCTAACATCCAGTGTAAGAGCATTGATTGTCCTAATACAAACAGCTGGTGAATATTGCAATGCACTACATTAAAATGAGCATGAATTGTATAGTGTATCCCTGTTGAATTGCTCAGCATCCAGTACTTGTGTTTTCAAGTCCTTAGTTCACCTTTGGTAACATGTTCCCACTCCTGCAGCTTTATCCCTGATTTGATCTTTTCCGCCAGAATCCCCCTCCCCTCCCTTCCCTGTTACAGCAGACTGGGAATCCTCTCCCCACACCCACTGTCACAATTTGAAAAGAGCACGGCCATGCGGGGCTCCGCCCACACGGCTGCATCTTTTATTCAGAGTTCTGTGAATGAATATGCTACAAGTACCAACAGCCTTTGCACCTGACAGCTTGTAAGTATCAATGATCTACAAGGGGACTAGTGAGCATCCTCGAAGTTCATTGATAATTTCTGGACTGGAGGAACTGGCTGCCCATATCAGAGGTACTGACAAACAGATACACACTGACCGTTTGCAGGAGTCTGACATTGCAATCAGCAGATCGTGGGTGCAATGCTTTCCAGGCTCCTATGGGAAAAAAAAATAGTAAATGCACAGAAAAAATCTGCATTTATTATTATTTTTTTTAAAACAGGTGAACTTATCTTTTAAACCTTTTCATCACATGGTAAGCTGAGGAAAAGAATAGGCAAGGTCATATGGATACCTGAAACATAATCAATTTTGTTTCTCTGTACAGCCTTTTCTGATGAACTTGGAGCCGTGGGTGGGACAAACCTGGAAGATGAAACCCATGCTCTGCGGCTAGATGAAGACAGTGAGAACCCCCCCATGGTTTTGAGAACCGAGTGAATATCTGTGCTAGCAGTTTCTCATTGTAGATACAAGACCAGTTCATGGGAATCTCTTGTGTTTGCTGCTATGGACATCTGTAAGAGTCAGGGAAGTATCGGATGCAGTTTTGAATTCTTCAGAATATATTTGGGTTCTTTTTAACAGTGCAAGTAATACAGATATTTTCACTTAAGTTTCAATCCAATTTTAGCTGTTGTCTGGTTGCCAAATTAGGATACACTCTGTTGCTTAGCATGTTGCTGTTTGCCAACCGAATCTAGACAAATAGAAACTGCTACACTAATCTTTGAATACTTTTTAAAACTTGTATGTGTGTAAAATATATTGTGTGTATATATGTATGATTTTTTTTTTTCTTGGCTAAAGTAAAAAAAAGAAAAAAGTCTAATTAGCTGTGACTATATAATAGTTGCTTCATCCATTATTCTGCTAATGATATTTCTAAATAACTTGTATTGTCATCTGTGAAAACAAGTTTTAAGCCATTATTTGACCAAAGCAGTGCTGTAAAAAAAAGTCTACACGCCTAACAAAATCCATGTTCTCAGATCTTTGCTATGTGTTTTTAGGCTACAGGATGCCTTCCTCAGTTATGTTTGAGATATTTATAGATTTCTGTCTATTGAGCACAAATTTTTTATCTATTTTCTCTTTTCAAGGTCCATTTGCTGTACCCATCTCATTAAAAGTAGGGAAACGAAGGAAACCAAATTTTGCCAGTGCAAATATTTGCTGCAAGAGTTTTGCTCATATTATGATGTGATGCAGCTTCAAGTGTAATGTGACATAAATACACTCATAAGCACGTTTAGTTCAGAAATTAATATAATCATCCTGTATAAAGCCGCCAAACGCATTATATTGTTTATTCATGACATTCCAGTGCACATTTTATAAAGTAAGCTAGCTTATGTATATCAAAACCAATAAATGCTCCATTTTTGGTATGCTGTTGCTTGTAAATGTGATGATCAGGTGAATCGCACCTGCAGTTTCAGGAATGATACATGTCTTAAAAAGCTCACAACTTTTATATCCTCGTGAATATTAACCACTTGATCTCTGGAAGATTTACCCCCCTTCATGACCAGGCCATTTCTTGCAATATGGCACTGCGTTACTTTAACCCTGTACACAAATTAAATTTATGTCATTTTTCCCCACAAAAAGAGCTTTCTTTTAGTGGTATTTGAACACCACCTCTGGGTTTTTTATTTTTTGCACCCTAAATGAAAACACACTGACATGTAAAAAATAAAAACTAAATGATATCTTTTACATTCTGCTTTAAAACATATCCAATTAAAAAAATAAATTTAATAAATTTAGGCCAAAATGTATTCTGATATTGATATAGAGAGATAGATATATAGATATCCCAATAGGTGTATATTGATTGCACAAACGTTATAGCATCTACAAATGTGTGTATATATATATATATATATATATATATATATATATATATATATATATAGTAATGGTGGCAATCGCGACTTATAACTTATAGCAGGACTACTATTAGTGTCAGACTGGCTACCACAATATCGCAATCAGTGCTAAAAATATACACTGTCACTGTATTAATGGCAGGGAAGGTGTTAAACATTTAGGGCAATCAGAGTTAATTGTGTGCCTAGCCAGTGTTTTTGTGTATTCCCTGAATAAAATCTAGCAGATTGCCATTGACGGAACACAGTTCTGCCTTGTTTGCATAGGCAGAGCTGTTTTCTGTCAGTCTCCTCGGCAATCAACCTGTGCCGGTATTCATCCATTGGCCGGCACCTGTTGATCGGCTTCTGCTGTGTCCAGTCCCAGCAGAAGCATTAGAAGTGCAAAATCCCGTTTATTTACAGCTCAAAAAAATTAAAGGAACACTTTGAAAATGCATCAGATCTCAATGGGGAAAAATATCATGCTGATACAGTTGTGTCCAAAATTATTCAACCCCCCAATGCTGTAAAGGGGTTTAGGGACTATAGTGTACATTTGGAATTGTATTCAGAATCAAATCCTACAAGGACGTTGTAACTAGCCCAAATGCAACTAAAATGACATCAATTGTTTATGTAATACAGTAGTAAATGGTTCTTATGTGGTTTCTTCATTGCCACAATTATTCAACCCCTTAAAGACTACCACTCTGAAGAACAGAGGTTCATACAGGTGCTTTCCATCAGGTATTGAAAACACCTGTGGATGTCACCGAGCAGCAATCAAGCATAATAAGCACCAATTAGGCAGCTTTAAAATGACTGTGGGATACTCAGCTCCTTCTAGACATTTACTGGTGTGGTTACAAACATGGTGAAGGCAAGAGAATGGTCCAGGAAGACAAGAGAAGAGGTGATTTCTCCTTCACAGGAAGGGCAATGGCTATAAGAAGATTGCAAAGATGTTAAACATACCAAGAGTTTAGGAAGCATCATTCGCAAATTCAAGGCAAAGGGCACTGTTGAAACGCTACCTGGTCGTGGCAGAAAGAAGATGCTGACTTCGACTGCTGTGCGCTACCTGAAGCGTAGAGTGTGGAGAAAGTCCCCGTGTGACTGCTGAGGAACTGAGAAAAGCCTTTGTCAGATGTGGGTACAGAAGTTTCACCCAGACAATAAGACGCACACTGCGTAATGAAGGCCTCCGTGCCAGAACTCCCAGGCGTACCCCCTTGCTGTCTCCAAAGAATAAGAAGAGTCGACTGCAGTATGCCAAAAGCCATGTGGACAAACCACAAAAGTTGTGGATAGTGTTCTGTGGACTGATGAAACAAAATTAGAACTGTTTGGGCCCATGGATCAACGCTATGTTTGGAGGAGGAAGAACAAGGCCTATGATGAAAAGAACACCTTGCCTACTGTGAAGCATGGTGGATGGCAATTCAATCATGCTTTGGGGCTGTTTTGCTTCTGCAGGTACAGGAAGCTTCAGCGTGTGCAAGGTACCATGAATTCTCTTCAGTACCAGGAGATATTGGATGGAAACGTGATGCAGTCCTCACACACCTGAGGCTTGGGAGACGTTGGACCTTTCAACAGGACAATGATCCCAAGCATACCTCCAAGTCCACTAGAGCATGGTTGCAGAGGAAAGGCTGGAACATTTTGGAGTGGCCATCGCAGTCACCAGACTTAAATCCGATTGAGAACCTCTGGTGGGACTAAAGAAAGCAGTTGCAGTGCGCAAGCCTAAGAATGTGACTGAACTGGAGGCCTTTGCCCATGAAGAATGGGCGAAGATACCCGTAGATCGCTGCAAGACACTTGTGTCAAGCTATGCTTCACGTTTAAAAGCTGTTATAACTGTAAAATCTAGGATGCTGTACTAAGTACTAAGATTGAATGTCACTTGGGGGTTGAATAAACTGATAATGCTGTGAGCACAGAAAAGACATTTGTGGTTATTTCATTATAACTGTTATGTTATATTTGTCTGACCTACAAGTGCCTCTTTAATGTAAATGTAAGCAAGATGACTGAATGATCAAAAGCAATGTCAAACTTAAAAAACACTTTCAATTTCAGTGGGGTTGAATAATTTTGGACACAACATGTATCTATACTGATATGGACTGGGTAATGTGTTAGGAACACAAGGATGCCCCATGGTTAGATGAAAATTATCAACCTACAGAGGACTGCATTCAAAGACACCCCGAAAATCAAAGTGAAAAAATGATGCAGCAGACTAGTCTGTTTTGCTGAAATTTCATTTAATGGTACTCAGTAGTTTGTATGGCCCCCATGTGCTTGTATGCATGCCTGACAACGTCGGGGCATGCTCCTAATGAGACGACGGATGGTGTCCTGGGGTAATTCCTTCCAAATCTGGACCAGGGCATCACTTAGCTCCTGGACAGTCTGAGGTGCAAGCTGGCGTCGTCGGATGAACCAAAACATATCCCAGAGGTGTATCTATCTATAGCATTTAGCTCAGGCGAGGTGGGGGCCATTCAATGGTATCAATTCCTCCGTCCTCCAGGAACTGCCTGCATACTCTCGTCACATGAGGCCGGGCATTGTCGTGCACCAGGAGGAACCCAGGACCCACTGCAGAGCCAAAAACTCACCTTGGCGGCCATATCTGAAACCTAAGATCATCAATATGTGGGACCAGGCTGTAATGTGACCCTAGGGGTCAGCTCTTGGTGCTTTCAATGCATTTGGTGACCTGTGTTACCCACAAAGTGCTTTACAAGTCTAGGTCTGTACTACACCTGTCGGATTGTGATTGTAAAGGCAAGAGCTCTGAGTGGTTTGTAGCTTGTCCTTTTTTTATTTTTAATTTTTTTTTTTTTGGGACCTGGACGCATCACTGTTCCCTGTTTGAGTTCACACTTTTCTCTATGTCTTCACTGAATTCGGCTGCCATTGCGCATTCCTCTACATTAATCATGGGGCAAAATTTCTCAACTATGTCAGATTTTATGCAAAAGTTCACTGCCATAATTGCTGACTCAGAACACAGAGGCCACAACCGTATTTCTATGCCTCTCCAAAGTCTGTCTCTGATATGCCTTGATATTAATATTCTTGGATGCCTGAATGATCTACTGCTAATGGAACAGTCTTCACAATGTTTATCAGTAATTGTCCTCCACACTGTTTGGTAAAATGCTGAACATTCAGAAGTGAGCACTGTACCCAGCCCATCATTTGAGTATATAGATCTCCTCCCTGATACTGCTCAGTTCAGGGTTCTCTTTCTGTAGAAGACCCTCTTTTCCCTGGTTAGGACCTTTCAGTCAAAGAACCATCCTATTCTGCACTTATGGTGGCCTCCTACCTTTTGGGAATAGAAGGTACATTCTCTGAACCGTCACATGTGCCTGACACCCAAGACCAGGTTATCTCTTACCTGGTGGCTCACAAACTCAGCCTTGAAGTCAGGAAAATCCTTCCTCTGGTTTGGAAGATTCTCATGGCAATGCCAGTCTGACAGGCTAGGGAGGAATCCTGGACTTCATTCTGATGCAGGGGACTTGATTGCCAGAGGACTCCCTA